CCACCACCACCACCACCACCACCACCACCACCACCACCACCATCACCACCACCATCACCTGGCTCGAGTTTACAACATACTTCTACAGAATTAAAATTCTGAAGATTAGATCTGAATTGCATAGCATATTCTAAAATGAAATCTTGCCTAAAAAATACATTGCATCATAAACAAATTCTTGGGATTACCTGTTTGGTTTTCTCTAACAAGTTGTAGTTCAGTAGATAGTTCAGCGGGTAAGGGCATTTGCTGGCAAGCCTGATGATACCCAGAACCCATGTAGTGGAAGGGGAGAGCCAGACCCTTCAACTTCTTCCTTCGCATGCTTGCCATGGCACATACATGTGCATGTACATGCTCACACACAATACTTAACTTTTATAGGGTTCCTTTTTATTATGCTGGAGTTACATTACTATTCTATAATGTAATGTTTAATATTACCATAGATACCTAAATTTCTGTCTGTAAGGTTTGCTTTCCTTCCTGAGTATTTTACTGAAACAAAAGAAAATTTCAAGGTTTTTCATAGTATTGATGCATTATTTTAAATTTTCTTGTGCATATGTAACATTATAACTCTTAACTTTTATTATTTCTATTCTGCAGACCCTGTATCCTACTTATGGACTCACTCAGAGGCCCATCTAGGTCAAATGTTGTCAAAATCCTAAGAGAGTAAGTTCAAAACTGTAACCTGCTTGTTTGATACATTGTAGCGGAGGCAGAGTTTACAAGTGTGTATTGGTACCTGTGCATTGTAGGTATTTAGAAGTGGAATGGGAGGTTAAAAAAGGAAGCAAAAGAAGTTTTTCCAAAGATGTTATGAGAGGTTCCAACCCAAAAGTTCCACAGCAGAACAACTTCAGCGACTGTGGCGTGTACATACTGCAGTATGTAGAGAGCTTTTTTGAGGTGAGTTTCAGTTTTTTGTTATCTGTGAAATAATGAAATAGGTATTTGTATTTCATGTAATGAACACAATAAGAAAGTAATTCATCTTTAAAATGATTGTAAAGAACAAAATCTTCCAAGTTAGAGATCTTTTAAGATATAAAAATACTGTAATTATTGATCCCAAATCTCAGGCTTGTTGATCATCTCTGATGAACCTGTCCTCTTCACTAGCTTATTTTCTACCTTACCAATCTTGCCTGTGATTCATGCTGTTTGATCACCTGTCCATTTCTGTCTACGCACTTTCCAAGTCCAGGATACTAGTGTCATTCTGAGCTGCTACACCAGATTCTCATGCCTTCTGCCTTCTGCTCATCACAGTCCTTTTCTAGAAACTGATCAGATTACTCTCATCATGTTTATACTTGGTGGCTCCCTGGTACTCTTGAGCTAAAGAACAAACCCTTGTGGTGGCCTGCACTGTACTTTGGCCAGTTGAAAGTCTATTTCTTGCTGTGCCGTGTCTCAAAGCCTTGAAGCTCACTCCCAATGCTTCTGTCAGTCTGTGGCTGGCTAACTACATCTAAACAGCATTGTTCTCGTTTCACTGCCTACCTCCTGTCACAGTGTTGGCCAAGGTTGACTGTTTTTATGTAGCATGGTGCTGGCCTTCTTCCTTAGGTGGGGCCTGAGAGTAAAGACTTGTGTTTAGCAGCTGTGGAGACTCTTAGCAACTCTCAGTTCTACTGTTGCACAAACAACTACAAACTGTTTGTCAATTTGTTTGCTTCTGCTTGAACAAGAACTTTATTGCAGAAATTGGGTATGGCCTGTACTCAACCCAATAACTGTAGTTACCAGCCTCTAATCTAGACAGTAAGCTTCATAAGCCAATACTGCTTTTATCTCTAGTGCCTAACTCAGTGAATAGATACTGATACTTAACTTTTGAGTATTGTAGTTGAAATTAAAATGTCACCCATTATAATTTTCTAACAGGCTTTTCATCTTCTTATTTTCAGAATCCAATACTAAATTTTGAGCTTCCTATGAATTTGGTGAACTGGTTTCCTCCTCCTAGAATGAAAACAAAAAGAGAAGAAATCCGAAACATAATTCTGAAGCTTCAGGAAGAGCAGAGTAAAGAGAAGCTGCTGAAGGCCCCTTCCTCATCAGAGACAGCCTTTGGGGAAGGAGCTGAGCAGTATGCCAGCAGTGTGTCAGAGTGACCAGGAGCTTCAGAGCTCACATGGCGTGCAATTTTGGTTACAGACAGTAAAGAGCCGACATGCTCACTACTCAGAGGTTTGGGGATGTTAATGCTGTAAAAATGTCACATAAGTAATTTCCAAAGGAGTATGTATTAAGTAAAAGTCTGTAAATATGTTAATGAGGCCAATTTTTCCAACATTTATAATTATTTTTTTCACTTTTAGGAAACCTTTGTTATGTATTTTCTGTTAATAGTACTAAAACTGCAACTTCTAAACACAAATAAACTATTTATAGGAGGAAATGATTAATTTGATATTCTTTAGTGAACTTGTATAATTCCTCAGAGTGTGATTTTATTTCATGGGAATATATATGTATCTATGTTTTTTTTTTTTTAACCTCTGTTCCAAAATACTCAAAAATGTGAAAATATAATTGTCAGAGACATTTTAAACTAAAAATGCATCTTTATATGCTTGCATACAAGAAAAATTAACATCTTTTCAATTCATGCTCGTTGAGTTTGTTCAGAGAAACCCCAAAATGTAATAAATATTTATAATTGTACACAGATACTTAAACACTATTAAGAGCAATCAAAGACAATGCGCCTTGACTTCTCCTAGTGAAGTCTGACTAACTGCACTGGCACACACTCTGCGACTCAGGTGAACTCTGTCCTGGCCAGTGCAGCTGGAATCTCAGACACCCAATACAACCTTTGTATTTACCGTACGGTATGCTGCAGCCTGTGTGGTAGAACTAGTTAAGGAACAGTTTTAATCTGCGTAAACACAGGAATTCAAATAGGAATTTATTTTTTGTAACTTCTGCTATTTTTTCATTATTTTGTTCTCATTGTTTTGATAAAGTATCAGACCGTTAGCTTGAGTTTTTCTGTGTAAATTATTTTAAAATGCAAACATCCTCTCTTTAATTGCATAGTGCAGCAAAAGGTCTTATTTTGAGTTTTCCATTTAGGTTGAGAAAATGTGAGGCTAGGCCTGTAGTTCAGTAGAATGCATGCTTAACAAGCTGGAGGCCTCTTGTTTCAGTCCCCAGTAGCAAACAAAAGTAGAAAAATGTGAAGCTTTTGAAGCCACATTTGTAATTCTTGTAGAGTTCGCTGGTATATGTAGAAACTATTATTTTCTCAAATGAATGGTATCTAGTTCTTTCAGGCTAAGTGTAAGACTTAAAATATATGTTTTAAGTCATCTTTGTTAGTGAATTTTTAAATGCCCATATAACAAAAAAAAAAGTGATAATAAAAGGTCATTTTATCATCTATTTTATTTCTAATGTGGCCATCTCTGGCACTGTGAGCCACAATTTAGACTGTTAATGAGTTTAGTGAGGTACTGGGAAAGATTTGGCGTGGGGGAGAATGGTAACAAATAACTGGAGACTCTAGTGACAGATGAAAATAAGTGCAAGGAGAGTCACCATTAGTGCCATCAGCTGTGTGTGTCTGTTTTCCTTTGGCCTAGTTTAACTCTCTTGTTTCTTTTTAGGAAGACTTGACAACTGCTAGGCGGTGTAATTAGCTCAGACATGTAAGACAAGAGTTTTCTGAAATTTTATTCCTAACTGAAAAAGCCAAAATGTTTTTGTTCTCTAGTGAAGACCAAAAAACAAAGCAAAGGAATTAAAAAACAAAAACTTTAATAGAAAGTATAAACAAGATTGGCAAACTTTATTTTTTAAATGAACTCTATTTTGCCAAAATTTGAGGGAACTGGGAAAGTTAGTGTAAGGACCAGGTGTACTGGCACATGGCATTTAATGCCACCTGCTTAGGGGCTGAGGTACTTAACCACTTGACCCTGAGTTCAAGGTCAGCCCGCAGTGTGGTGAGACACTGTCTCAAACTAAAACTATCCTAAAAACTTGTGGTGGGTTTTTTTGGTGTTTTTTTTTTTTTTTTTAATTCTTAATAGCTATATTTTATAGTGTTAGATAACTTGTTAAGTTAAAATTACAGCTTGTTTCTATGGCTAATTCTAGTCAATATTTTTTGTTTCAACATGAAAAATAAAGATTGTATAAATAGTTTAAAGTGGAGATCTACCTAAGATGTGATTAGCACAAGCAGTGTGACAGAACTTGGAAGTCAGAAGTCTGTCATTGACACCAGAACTGCATGAGGCTATCTGGTGACTTCACTAATTAGATAGCACTGCTGTATTGGTTTTCTTGTTGGATAGAATAACAGCTAATCATTTTTAGAAGAGTTTTAGATTACTTGCCATAAAATTTGTATGTGTCTGAGCTCCTGGTAGTTCAGGGGAAAGGTGGTGGTTAGCCAGTCCGTCCCTTTGGTGTCACTGACATGCTTTCTTCAGACAGCCGAGAATGTGATGGAGTTCCTTCAGTTTCACTTAAACCCGAAACAGTTAGCTTTTCTTTGCATGCAGCTTGTGCTTAAGTGAGTCAATTAAATGTGCAAGGTTTTATTTGAAAGCACAAAATGATTTGCTTTGTGTTTTGTCTCCAAAATGACTTTAGTATTTTTCTCTGTAAAGCCTATTTGTAGTCTCTGAAGGCTGTGTTCAGATAGAAAGCTGCCGTGTGGGGTGAGGGCAGGCAACAGCATTGTCAGGGCATTCTGTAGAGCAGCAGGTCTGTGGCCAGAATCAGCTGTGGAGAACAGCTTCAAGCAAGTTAAACAGATTGCTCCACAGGACTTCTCCAAGTCTTTAGTGTGGATACGTAGGATTATTAAGTAAAATTACAGACCACTATATATAATTGGCCATATCTTCTGTTCCAAGAACTCCTAGAGTAAACAACTGAAGATATTTTGTGAACTGACTTTAAGAGAAGATTGTTTTGAAGCTGAATTGAGGATTTAAAAACATTTTTTTCAATAGTTGAGTTTATTATTTAGAATTTTGAAAATAGATAAATGGGCATTGGTGAAATAAATTTTTATGAGAAGCTTTTTCTGTAACCATTAGGAAAATAACTTTTGTAAGGAAAAGGTTACAAATTAATTTTTTCACATTAATGAATTCATTTAAGGAAAAGAGAATTGATATCTTTTGTAAAGTCATCAAATCCCAACAAACATGAGAATAGAAATCCTGTAAAGCTATGGAAGTGAATTGAAAGGCTGTTTGCAGGCTGCTCCCTTACCTCTGAACCTCTTACAGAAGGTTGAACTTCCTTCTGACTTCCACTCCATCTTTTATGTTAGAACTAAATTGCAGTTGGTGAACTTCATACCTAAAGACATGTTTTTCTTCCATCAAAATCTGTGCAAAAAAGTATTCTTCTGTAAGCTGGAATCATTTTATTAACATATTTTGAATATTTTAAACTTGTCTTACTGAAAGTTGTTCAAAGTTATAATAAAACATGTTATCATAATTAGCTTTATACAAGTAACAGAAGATTTTAATTAGATTTTAAAAGTCTTTAGACATTCAGTGTTTTGAGCACCTAGTACATAGTATAGGACCAGATATACACCATCTTCCTGCTTCACAGTGTGTTGGGAAACAACAGTCATTGGCTTCACAAATGAGTACCAGCCATGAAAAAGTGTGTCTAAAGAGTAATCTCGGGGTCTCAGGTTAGAGACTTCCTGAAGGGGTAACATTTGAACCACTGGTAGTAGTTTAGAAGAGGAAAAGTAAAGTCTGAAGTAGAAAGACAGATGCTTTGGCTTAAAATGATAATTGCTTCACTGATAAAGCATGTACTGAATGCTAGACATTGTGTAGAGCATTTTAGATAAATGAATGCACTTCCTTAATGATCTTAGGAGATTCGTGTACTGCTAGTACTTCCAGTTTGTGAGACAGATAGGTCCCCAAGAAAGTCTCTTGAATTCACAGCGTTAAACAAAGTTGCTAGGTTAACCTGTACTTGATAAAATTAGGTACAAATAAGATACTAGTGATTTTCTAGAGATGTACTGTGGTAGAGTCTTGATCTCTGAAGTGGGATGTAAGGGGCTGCTCTGAATATGCTGTTTTTAAATCATGTGTAAACATTTGTATAGTTTCTTAGAATGCCTTGTGCAAGTTAATCATGCAGGGCCTTGTGGCCATGTTCAAGATCTTGATCATTACTGTGAAAAGTTACAGAAGCATTTCAGACATGAGTAACACAATCAAATGTGCATGCAGAAAAGAGCGTGTATTAATGAAAATGGGACCAGAATGAAAGCAGTCTTGTCATGCAACTGTGTTCTCAAGGTGAGGCATGGAATAATACATCTGTGTGGTAGGAATGTTGGAAAGACACAGTGGCCCCATTCAAGTGTTCCTGTTAGGAACGTGCAACAAGAACTCGAAAGGCTGTTCTTTATCCCAATCAGAAAAGATTCAAAGGCCACACAAGCATATACTGCTTAAAATAGAAAAAGTGATTAATGTTAGACATTACTAACCTAAGTGGTAAAAGCCAAATCATTCCTAAAACTTGAGACACTACCAAAGAGATAAAGAGCATTAATTTTTTAGACAAAGCTTTCTATTTTTAAGTACAAACCTCATGAAAAGAAGGTGTAAAATTAGAATTAAATACCAACGCTCCTTCACAGAAAAAGACTAGATGGGTTTAATTTGAGAGCAACTCATGCTTGATCTAGTTATGCAAGATCTCCAAACTCTCCGCTACCCAAGTGCTTGCATAGTTCTCTGCCCTGACTTGGCGCTCCCTGTCCTCTTCTGTCAGCTGACGGCCCAAGGAAAGAACAGGCAAAGGAAACAAAATAGGACTTAGTGGAGCAGATCTAAGTATTGGGAATTTAGGTGGAAAATAGGGAAGAATTTGCATATTGGAAGAAAAGATGGTAAGTGGCAGTCTAATATATGGCTAATATAAGGATTTCCTTATTTTAACCTCTGAAATAAGACTGTATCTTATCAAATAAATTTGACTTTGTCTCAAAATTAATGGAAATCATAAACGTAAGTTGCCAAGCCTGGTCCCTGACTCAAGTGTGTAGTACAGTCTACAAATTTACAACCCTAACAGATTATAGGCAAGAGCACACTTGAGGACCACTGGTACGCATGACTTCTTAGTGACGTTGCAGTCAGCTGTGGAAGGCTTGATGCACCAAGCATCCCCACACTGGCTTGCTGAAGTACTGTATGATCTTGTCTTCTCCTACCTGTGTTTTATACCTGAACTGAGACATGTAATTAAAGTTTTGATTTTTTTTATTATGCTCTGAACTTTTCTTTCCTACCTCTTTTGTGGTTTCCCCATATCCATAATATTTTTCTATGCATTTATATAATAAATGTATTCAAATGCAGTTTTCTTATAAAACTAGGATAACTTTTATAAACACTTTTTAGAATCTTGTCTCAGCAGTGTCTCATGGAAATTATTTAGCCTTGTCTCGCTCTGTTCACCACTCTAGTTTTGCCTGTGCTATAGAAACATTTACAGAACCTTTACAAAATCGTCACCTTTCTTTGATCATGATAGGAGTCCAGAGATGCGAAGGGGAAGGAGGGGAGCGCTGCTTATCTGTTGTTGAGCTCTGTCTGATGCAGCTCCTTTCCTTCTTCAGAGTGCGAAGGGAGGCTGGGGGCAGCAGGTCAGCTCAAAGCTCCCACCCAGTAGAAGCCATGCTGCTGCCCTTCACCTTCTACACACGTCTGCACCTTCTAGCTTCAGTTGAACAGCGAAGCTTGCTTTTACCATTTCTCCAGGAGAGGAAGATTGTTTTGTGACTTCCACAGTAGTGGGCATTCTGTCTCTAGTTTTTCCCTCGAGGTGTTCATTCTTTATCTTGAGGTCTTGTAGGCAAAGCTCCTCTCTGTTGCTGCCATCACTCTCCTCTATCACTGGTCTGGATGGTCTTTGCCAACAGTGTCTGACTTTGTTCAGAGCACATCGCCATTTGTTACAGATGTGTAGGGCCTTGCTGTGTCCGGGCTGCCATAGCGGGATGTCCTGCCACCAGCTTCCCAGCTACTGGTATCATAAGCCTATATAACCCATACCTGGCTACAAATGTACGTTTTCATTCATTACCATTTATACAATAGATTTCATGTGGTATTTTCCATAGCAGAATTTTTTATTTTTATACATTATTTGATTTTTAAAACTTGGTTAAGGGGCTCCTTTTTGACTTGAGGTAGTGCACACTGGCAAATAATTCTTAAAAGATTTTAAATTGTAAGTAATGAAACTGAAATTTATTTCTGTATATGGCAAAAGATATGGTTTTATTCAAAAGAGTTTTTTGAAGACTTCAGTTTGTGCCAGCACCATTGATTAAATATCCTCCTTTACATATAACTGTCATAATTCTCATGCTAAATTACTGAGATTTCTGAAATTTCTTTTTAAAACTTGGTCTACTCATTTCATTAAGCCTGGTCTACAGGACAATGAAAATGCAAAAAGAGGTTATAGATTTAAACATCCTATTAGACAAAGAATGAAAAATGAGAGGTGAAAAACTAGTGTTAAAATAGGACAACCAAGGTGGGCAGTGGTGGCGCACACCTTTAAACCCAGCACTCGGGAGGCAGAAGCAGGTGGATCTCTGTGAGTTCGAGGCCAGCCTGGTCTACAAAGTGAGTTCCAGGAAAGGTGCAAAGCTACACAGAGAAACACTGTCTCGAAAAAAAACAAAAAAAAAAACAAAAAAAAAAAGAAAAAAGAAAAGAAAAAAAAAGATAAATGCATAATAAATTCTTGAGCCTAATGAAAAAAATTAATTTCAAAGGAAAGGAGTTGTGTCTAAGACACCAAAAAAGCTTAAAAAATGAGACAACTTATAACACTGTGACCACAACTTGAAAGCATCAGAACAGATTCAAGAAGCAAGAGTTTGGCTAGAATATCCACACTTAGAAGGTGCTGGCAAAAATGTCAAGAGCCTATACCAGAAACTTGCACCAAGTAGATCAGTTCATCTGTTTGAACTTTGAGGCAACATCAAATTGTTCCAGGCCATAAAAGCTCTTCAAAGTATGACAATTCATTTATGAAACCCATCTACTTACCATAAGAAGTTCTAGAGGAGGTGGGGGTCAAAAGCAAGGGGATAGGACAAGGGTGTAGCTCAGTTACCAAGCATGTGAGAAGTTCAGGACTTGCTCCCCAGCACTGGATGGAGAGAATGTAAAGAAGTAACAATGTACTACATGTAAGTGTTGTAAAACACTTAAAACCATTTAACTTAATGTAAAATTAGGTACAGTCTTTTACAGCAAATGTACTAAGAAAAAAAATTTCAGGGAGAAAATGGAACATTTCCATTTGAACTTTTAAAAAGATAATAGAACACATAAGAGAATCAGATACAGTGCCTGGATAAATACACCCAAAGTTAATTCTGACAATGAGAATATAGAAAAATAATTGGAGAAGAAAAAAATAACTGGTGGCAAAGAACTGTAAATGTGATTATGAATAAAACTAACATGTTGCCTGGGGTTGGCAAGATGGCTCAGTGGGTAAATGCACATACTACTAAGCTTGAAAACCTGTGTTTGGTCTCCAGAACTGACTCCTTTGAGCGCTCTAATCTCCATATGCATCCCCCCCAAAAAAACTTTTTAAAGAACAGTTTGTTGCCTAAATGAGAAAATACAGGATTTTATTAACAACTATAAACCATAGCCTTACAAAAATTAAAGGGCAGTTTTTAAACAGGAAGGCAGTGCTGTAGAAATGCTAACATCTCCCTAGCAGTAAACCTTCCTAACACAATTAGATTTAACAATAGTAATTTGTATAAGAGCTCCAGGAGTCCAATCTGTGAGAGAGAGGAGGGATTCTATAAGCAAGGGACATCAAGATCGTGATGGGAAAACGTAGAGACGGCTAGCCAAACTAGTAGAAACCCATGACCTGTGAACTGTGGACCAATAGCTGTGGAGTCCCCAAGGATCTGGACTAGGGCCTCTGGATACGAGAGACAGTTGTTTAGCTCGAACTGTTTGGAGGGCCCCCAGGCAGGGGGATTGGGATCTGTCCCTGGTGTATGAGTGGGCTTTTTGGAGCCTAGTGCCTATGGTGAGACACTGCACAGCCTTGGTGCAGGGAGGAGGGGCTTGGACCTGCCTCAACTGAATGTACCAGGCTCTGCTGACTCCCCGTGGGAGACCTTGCCTTGGAGGAGGTGGGAATGGGGGGGTGGGGGATAGGGGGGAAAGGTGGCGGGGCGAGAGGGAAGGGGGGGGAATCTGTGGTTGGTATGTAAAATGAATAGAAAATTTCTTAATTAAAAGGAAAAAAACTAAAAGAATTTTCATAAAAATTAGAAGTTTGTACAGGAGGGGAAATACCAAAGAGCGTCCATAAAAAGATGAGGCCAGGTTTGGCACTCATCCAAATAGTGTAGTTCCAGCGCAAAGGAGACTGGGGCAGAAGGCTAACAAGTTAGAGGCCAGCCTGGACCACACAACAGGGCTCTGAAAATTGAGCCAACTGAGTGGGCAGGATGGCTCAGTAGGAAAGGGCACCTGCCACCTAGCCTGAGCCGAGTTTGACCCCTGGACACCATGTGATGGAAAGAGAACAGATTCCCATAAATTGTCCATTGACCATACATACGCACACAGGGATACACACAGTAAATAAATGTTAAAGATAATAATGATTGAAAAAAAGATTAGACAAAAAAAAAAAAAAAACCTAAATTAACTAAAAGACCTTCATGTATGGCAAAGCCACTGTGAGTGATATATGGAATCCAGAGAGGATTATGATATGAAAAAATGACATGCATTAAAAAGAAGGAACTGGAGTACAGGAAAACGGAAGAGACCACACCTAAAGGAGTTATCAACTACACACAGAAGTGAGCCCTGGATGTGGGTGATGGGGTGGGTGGGGGAACTCCCTTGGTAGTTGAGGATGGTCTTCTGGTCCTTCGGCCTCCACCCCAGAGTGCTGAAATTGCACTACCATGCCCTTTGTGCGGTGCTGGGAACCCACTGGGGCTTCCTGCATGCTTGGCAAAGCACTCTACCAACCAAACTCCACCCTAAACCCTGGGGGGCGTGGGGGGGGCTTTAGAGTAAACGTGTTACTACTGTTAGAAATTGAAGTGCTAATTGGTAGATTATTATAACAATTTTTCAATTTTTATTCCTTGGATCTTGAAAGATTTGGCTACAAATAGGATAACCTGGAGAAATTATCCTCTAGATACAACCACTGGTCATAATGTCAAGTTGTTGGGTAACCAAAAAAAGCCCAGGGCAAGACTAAATTCATTAACTGGAGTTTAGCATAAGCAATAGCTTCAGGCTTGAGAGACAATGCTGACATTTACCCTCCTAGAAAAGACAGTTGTTCCTGCAGCTGCTTTTCTTAGCCACTGTCCTCTTCTTAGCACACAGCTGAGAAACAATTCTTATTCTCTTGCTGAAGCAATATGATTTTTTTAAATGTTCCTTTAAAAATACATTACATAAAAGCTGGCTGGGGTGGCGCATGCCTGTAATCCCAGCACTCAGGAGGCAGAAACAGGAGGACTGCTACAAATCCATGGCCAGCCTGGTGGTCTACATCGTGAGTTTCAGGCCAGCCAGGGTTACATAGTAAGACCCTGTCATAAACCAACCAGCCACGCAACTAACAAACATCCATTACATGGTATTACTACTATTCACAATTTGAATAATGCCAATACTAAGGCTTAACCTTAAATGCTACAATATTTAAATGTACTAAGAGTAATATTCTGTCTAGGAACAACTTGGATGCATTGATAATATACCCCTGTTGCATAAACTATAAGAGGTATTTTTAAAATTTCCAATGGGCCAATGAGACGGCTCAGTGGGTAAAGGCACTTGTGAAGTAACCTTAGATCTGCCTGCCTCTGTCTCCCTCCAAGTGCTGGGATTAATAACATGAATCACCACTCTCAGTTTAGGAAGATATTTTGGAGCTCCGAACCATTCAGAAGGTTTATATTGAGGTAGGGTGCTTCTTAATTCTCTGGTTAATTTAAATATTGCTATCGGTATGATCAATTTTTATTCTTCATTGGAGTTTCGGGATTTGAATCCAGGGCTTTGATTACGTTAGGCAAATGCTTTTAACACTGAGTTACACTCCCAGTCACATGTAAATGAGACAGAAAAACCAAAGTATCTCAGTGTTGCCCACTCTTCTACTCCAGGGCTTCAGTGATCTTGCTGCCTCAGGCTCCTGAGCAGCTTTGATGGCATCTGTGCGTCACCAC